AGTCATGTGCATCTCGCTCAATAGAGCCTCCGTTGTAGGGGGAAATCGGGTGTGGGTACACCGTATGAGTCGACCGTTGAATTGGATGAGTATTTCCAAGTAAAGCATTCAGCCTTATCAGTTGAGGAAGTTATGATCTCAAATTGATTGAATAAAGGAGGTATTGCGGATTTGCTGTTGTTCAGTACGCTCTTGCAGAGACGCCAATAATCTTTAAAATCGAACTTGCGAGATGCATTACATTGTTTCCTTCTTTCAGCAAATAGTGACTTTGCTTCATTGAGGACACGCTTGCATTCATTACGGGCAGAGGCAAAGAGAGGTTTGTTGCAGTCAGACACGTCGCTACGGTACAGACGGAAAAAATGATTCCTATGAGCAATAGCAGCTGTGCTTAGTAGCTAAGAACCAAGAGGATGAACGCGATTTAACTTTATATTTTCTTGCAGGGATGAAAGCCTTGATTCCAGCTTTTACCCAGGAAGAGACCTCGAAAGCGCATTTTTGAACGGGGAGATTAAAGACCACATTCCAGGAGACATCTCGAAGGAAATCACTGAACGAGTACCAGTCTGCTCGTTGATAACAGAAAGATGTTCTTTTGGTAGGAGGTTCTTTGCTGTGGAAAGAGTAGAAGGAGATGTTAACAGACACTACGGCATGATCAGAGTTGCTAAGAGGGCAGAGCTGCTTGGCACAACAAGACTCGGGGATGGAGGTAAAAAAGAGATCGAGAAGGGAAGTCTTACCGTCCTGGTTATTGGGGAAACTTGTAGGAAAGTCAACCACTTGTGTGGGGATTGAGTAATTGAAAAATTAAGGGTTTGTTTGCCAGCAAGGTCATTTATAGAGTTTTAAGCCACTTGGTATGGTGGGCGTTAAAGTCACCGAACACGAAAATAATATATATATATATATATATATATATATATATATATATATATATATATATATATATATAAGGCAGGATATGTGTGTGTGTGTGTGTGTGTGTGTGTAACGAATGCACGGCCGCAATTTTCGACGGATTTGCACCAAAATTTACATGCACATGCTCCAAGTTAGCAGGAAGGCCAAGACTGACTTTGCATTTCTCAGCTCCAATCGATAGTGGAAATAATCGATTTTTTTCATGCTTCTACGGCACTTTTCATGTAGTTTGCTACTGTCGAGAGTGAGAGCCTATAGCTGGCTGCCACGAATAGGCAGGAAGATTCTATTGGCCAGCGTGAGAGCCAATTGCTGACTGACACTAGATTGTTAGCATGCAAAAAAAAATCGATAGCTGCATTCGTCACAAGTGGGAAAAATTTAAATCTGCATGGCACTTTACTCCAATTGGCTCATTCGCTTGCTTAAACTCTCAACGTTGATTCTGATTCCGCAGAACTGGGTTGGGTGTGAAAAGTATTTGTTGTTAACATTCTTTTTTCATTCGGTTTTTCCAGTTACGAGTCCTTTTTAAAGCTGATCGTTTTGTGTTCATTTTGTTTAGTTCTTTTTTTCGTAACAGATTTAATGTTTAGTATAGAGCTTAGAAAAATTCGCAGTGTGAGATAGGCAAGAAGTAAGGCATGTAGCAACATCAGCACGGCAAAGGGCACTCCTTTAAAGGCAAGGAAGGGCAAAAATATTTCAAATCAAATGATAGCGATTGCTGTATGAGTCGTACGATTTTGAATCAAGCATGGGCAACGCCGGGCCATGCTGCTAGTATATATATATATATATATATATATATATATATATATATATATATATATATAGTGAATAATTCATTTCTAAATAAATTCCCGGTGAACAGTAACCGACCAGATTTAAACTTTTCAAGTATTTTCACGTAATTATCGAGTATACGACAACTTTTATCAAAATGGGCATTTTATACCCCCTCTGCTATCTCAAGATATTATAACGAGTGTAGCTGACGTGTACATACTATGCACAGATCAACTAAACTTACCGAGTGTGGGTGGGGGATGTCCATACGGCCAAGATGGAAAGGCCGAAGAATTACAATTAAGTAATTATTATTTATTATTGTTCTCTACTCATTAAATAGTATTTTATGATTTTGACTTAAGGATACTGTTTAGAATTAACTTTTATGGTTTATTTGTTAGTAATAAGGTTGAATACCTCCACTGTGTCGTGTTGAGAACATTTCTTTTGGGACATCTTTTGCATGCCAATAACACTGAAAACCGTCTGGGCCATCAAGATTGAATTTTTTCTCGTCTGAAAACAACACTTTCTTCCATTTATCAACATCCCAAGTTTGATAATCGGAAGCAAATTGTAAACGGGAGGTTCTATGTCGAAGAAGAAGGCGAGGCCTCTGCAATGCCGTCGAATTGTTCGAGAGCTGCATTCAGCATCTGTATTCGCTTTTATGTGATTTAATGTTAGGCTTGAATCTCTTAACTTCTCGCCTAATGCTTCTGTCTAGAGATGGTGAGATTTTATTGGGGCGAAGGCTTGATTTTTTAGAACCATACTCGTCCGGATTTTTAATGAAGTTAGCAATGACAGTTCTGCTACGGCCAATTTCATTTGCAATGGTTCGTTGCGAAAGACCACATCTTTAAAGTTCAACAATCTTGCTCTGTTCGAACTTTGTTAAAATTTTACCCTTAGACATTTAAAAACCTGAAATTTAATACTGGAAATGAGCTACATAGATTTCTATACGCCTGAAGCTATGAGCCCACTGACTAGTTCTAAAAATTTTGTCCAGTAATTTGTTTTTTTCACGCATGGTCTTATCTTTACGAGCAACCAAAAAATCCTTTTTTCAATGTTTGTTTAAATTAATCAATTAAAAGCTTAAAATTTTCACTTGTTTGTTGATAAACTACATTTTCTAATTAATTGTAAATGTTTCGCAAATATACTTTGATTAAAGTAACAATATTTTATATATTTTTCTTTAACTCTTTTGTATCTGGTCTTAAGATTTTGACCAGGAGTGTATATAGAAAAAAAGAATAAAGTGACAGTTTAAAGTAAACTGACACCAGGAGAATATAGGTTATAGATATTTGAAACTTTTTGTATAAAAAGAGATTCGATGCAAATTTTAAATTATCTAGATCGCATTATTGAAACCAGTAAGAATACTGAGGAAGATGTTGGAAATTTTAAAAGACTAGACACAACTGAGGTGATTTTTTTTTATATATAATAACAGAAACAATAACACCAGAGATGACAATACTGATAATTGATCCCTAGGGAACAAACAGACGACACAATTGTTAGTAAAATTCAACGAATACAAAATAAAACATATACAATATGTAAGTGTTATTATTTTGACCAGGGATGTATATATATATATATATATATATATATATATATATATATATATATATATATATATATATATATATATATATAAAGAGGTGTATTAATGGATTCTTTAATCCGATACCATTTCTTATTACTATAAACGTTATTTTTTAGTGGATAGAAGTGTTTAAGTTGCTATCACTGTTGTTTTTTTTGTTCGTTTTTCAATTTTTAATTTCACTGTTTAAGAAAAAATAAAAACCCAGAGATAGCAACTGAAACACGTGAACTCACTAAAAATAATGTTTTTTATAATATATAAACGTTTCCTATTTGTTCTTTATCTTATATATATATATATATATATATATATATATATATATATATATATATATATATATAAAGATTCATTTCAGTTATAATTTTTTTCGTGAATATTTTATATTCATTTTTCAGACCGAAATATATATGATAAGATAAAGAACAAATAAAAAAAACCTTTTATCAATCTAGCAGAATATATAATATTTGCACATAATAACACAGAAAATAATATTTGGCACATTGGTTAAAGCTTGTGAATCGATTTCTAACTTTTCAACTATAAATTTCAATATTTCATCATTATGTATTTTTTAAGAAAAGAAATTCCCAATAATTACCCTGACACAATCATATATATATATATATATATATATATATATATACATACATACATATATATATATATATATATATATATATATATATATATATATATATATATATATATATATATGATTGTATATGCAATAAAGGCAATGAAATGTAATAGTTGCATAATCCACTACATGGACTCTTGCACAACTCCTGTTGAATAAGTTGTTTTTTGTTGGAGAAACCCAATAAATATCTTGCTTAATGCATCTCGAGCGCAGCGTCAGAACCTCGTGCGGTTTTGAATTTAAAGTTGTCCTCCTAGACTGATTACCAATAACGGCTAAAGAATTCTATCTCTCCTATTATTTAACCTATATCCGGGGGGTGAGAACAGATGAATTCATACCTTTCCAAAGGTTATCTGCACTTAAGTGAATCTAATGAACTCACTGAAATTCGAACTCTTCTCTCCGATTTCTCATCCCTAGCCTCTTTTGCACCAGCTGCACATCCACAGGTGTCTTTATATATATATATATATATATATATATATATATATATATATATATATATATATATATATATATATATATATATATAAAATAAAGACAATATATATATATGACTAAAGACAAAGGAAAACTTATCGTAGCCGATGCAAAAGTCCCTCAGAGGACGAAACGCGTCGGCTAAGATAGGTTTTCCTTTTGTCTTTATTCATATTGTCCTTTTAACTTCCCCTTTTTTTTCTGCTGTTACAACGGTCAATCTCTTGATTTCTTTGTAACTAAAAGCCAAATAATCATGCATCAGATACCTTACCGAATGGCAAGCTTGTCCATCAGATCCCGACCACTGTGGATGGTGAAATTTGGTCCTCACTGAATTCCATATACTTTCAAACTTCAATAAGTCTTACACCTACAGACATATATCCGTACATACACTCGCGTTCTCATACAAAGTATGCATCCCTCCACACACATTCACATCGATAGAATCAAAAAGAGAAACGTAAGTTTTTATAAATTTTAGGCACCATTTTTTTTTTTGTTAATCTCTTTACGTTAATGAACAATGCTTACTTATTCTTTTCTTTCATTGCCTTATTTAACTCAACCTCCTCCTCACCTCAGTCTGTTCCAATTCTTGTTTCTTCCTATTTGTTACCAGCCTTTCTTGACACTGTTTATATTTTGTTTCTTTCTTCTTTTTATCACTCATTGAAAACAGATACTGTTGCTACTCTCAGGTATTGTGCTCAGGTCAATACTTCATCCTATATGAAGTGGCGGTATGCGCTATCAGTGATCCATTCCGTAGAAGAGCACCCAGCTGGAAAGACGTTACCCCTCTGAAGCACACACTCTGTTGTTGGACGGGTGCGACAAAAATTTTTTAAAAAAAGAGTGTGTGTCAAACCCAACACACAAATAGGAATCGACAGAAAAAAGTGGACGTCAGAATACAATATTTTGTGTATAAAAAGACGAAAAAGAAAGAAGGAGACAAAGAACGAAAAGACACTTTTGTGCTATATAAAGTGATTTCTAAGTGTCTTCAACAAATTGTCTTCGTTTTCTCCCAGGGCAGACGATTTCCTGAGCGGATCAAAAGATGAAAAGAACAGTTTTATTGTTCTTGATTTTTGTCGTTTTCGAGCAGGTCAGCCAGGGTATGTATTGGATTTTCTTGCAATTCTTTCTTTCTTTATTTCTATTTTAAAACTTTACCGTTATTTTCCCTTCTTTTTCACCATTTACCTCTCTTTCCCTTTATTTCCACCCTTTTTTTTTTTTTATAAATATTGTCTCTTTTCTCTTTCGTCCTTTTTCAGCAAAAGATATTTTTTTTCTTTCTCCTTCCTCCGTTTTCTTCATATTCTCTTCTTTTTCGTGTATTAATTCTTCAACCCTTTACCTTTCTTTCTTTCGATTTTATTCATACGGTTTTTCTTTTTTTTTTTTTTTTTTTTTTCTCCCTGCAAAGATTCTGCCACTTTGGGTGGCTTACATCGTGACTTTTGTATGACTTACGTATTCTTTTTCAATGGCGCCAGAAGTCGGTGTTTAAGCCTTGGTTTTACAAAAAGAAAGAAAAAAAAAAGAAGAAAAACAGGATTTCGATTTTTCTAGGCAAGCAACTTCTACCAGTTAGATGATTGGCTTAGCACTATCTTCTTACCTCCAGTGGGCATCTCGTCTTGAAGCAAAACTTATTTATCACGCTAGAATCGCTTTATTATTATGACTGTGTAGTGATTCTTTTAAAAAAATTTAATTAGAAAAATTATTAAGTTTTAAATCTTTTAAAATTCTGTATTAAGTTCAGCTATTTCGATTATATTATTAATAAGTGAAAACTATATTTACTAATCATAAATGGTAACGTTTAATACCGGTCATCGAACATCAAATTTTTTAAGAGAATTTTGAATTTTTTTATGTACAGTGTAACCCGGATATAAGAGAGTTGTCGGGACCGGAGAAGAAGTCTCTTATATCCGGGTTTTTCTTATATCCGGGTTTGGTCTATTTTGTTTAGGTAAGTATGGCTCTAATTTGGGACCAGAGAAAATCTCTCTTATCTGGGTTTCTCTCTTATATCTAGGTTACACTGTATATAAACTTGCCCATTTTTTAAAGTATGAGCGACTATACACGACATTATCAGAAAATATAAGCGATGACTATAGTAAATTTAAAGTCAACATTCCTAAAATTAAATTACGAAGAATATTTTCCAATTTTTTTAAAGATTACTGAGTACTTAAAAAATACATAAAAAAGGCGCTCAAATCATTTTCTAAAATTATGTTTGACAGATAAAGACTCTGTAGAACAACAATAAACCTGTCATCACCTTGTCAAACATGTAAACATGGCTACTGTCGGTTAAAAACACGTCTACTGTTTGGTTTAGAAATGCATTTCTGTGTTATTTTAAAAGCAAATAATATTTGTTTCAGATCAGATTAATTATAGTTTAAGTCAGCTAATATTCCTCAAAAAAGTTCCAGAAAAGTATATTTTATTTTTAGAATATTTTTTTAATAAAGAAAATTACATTGCGATGAAAGATGACTAAAAAAGGCAATAATCAGCTATTTTGGCAAAAAAACAAAACAAAAAAAAAAACTTCCTTCAAGTTAATTTAAATTAGTTTTAGATTAGTTTTTGAAATACAGTAAAGTATTTCGCTTATTGGAAATATTGAGAAAGAAATCACAGTTATACTGATGACAAAGGTAAGAATATGAAGTTATAATTTTTCAAATAGTCATAATATTTACCAAACTGAGCATAGTTTAACACAAGGACACAAGAACTAAGGACCCAATGAGAATCGTAGGGACCTCCACAAATATGCGATACCTAAGGATTAAAAGGAAATTTTAAAAATGAAAAATCTTTCTTGATGCTTTTATTTTAGTTTTAATCTCAAGCTAAATGATAAATAAAGTGAAGTCTTACAAATTTAGTAGTAATAAAAAGTATTGATGGATTTTTAAACTTGAATAGAGTAATCTTTTTTAATCGCATACTTCAGTAAATAACATCTTCAGTAGAATGCCGGGGTCTTGTAATTCAGTAAATAAATAGTTCAATAAAAGGTCAGGTTATTTAAATCGATTTTCTTCTGATTAAGATTACAGTCAATGAGAAACTTGTGAAAAAATAAAAGATTTCAACCTGACACCCTGAAATTCTTCCCCTGAGTCGAGAACCCTTGGACAATAAATTTCATTCTCTTGTTGCGAGAGAACAATAAATTTCATTGTCCCGTCCCATATCTTTGTTAGTTTGTTCATTTGTTTGTTTCTTTCTTTCTTTAACCCTTTCGATTCTAATGGGATATAGACATTTCAGGAAAATATAATATATATATTTTATAATATCTCAGTTATAGATTTCTGTAAATAATCCCAATTGCTTGCTATATTTAGGCCATTTCTAACCTATCCATAAAATCCTTAATCCATAAAAATTTAAAAAATACATTGGATCTAATCAACTGTTATCTTGCTTCTTCTAACAATTATCAATTTATCTGGCATTTTTTCGCGACTGAATTCCAATTTCATTAAAAATACAAGGCCGCCATCTTTAAAATTTCCAACTAACGACTTCCAAGCTGTTACGATTTACTTTGTTTAAAATGAAACTCACTTTTCATATCTTTCTTCTTCTTACTATCTCACTCAATTTCTTTCCATTTCTTTATCATCCCTCCTCTCTCTTATGAAAAAAGATGTAGTTTCAGGCAGGATTCGAATCTGCATTCCAGTTTGCAGGAGAAAAAAAAAATCTGTCCGACCGGGTGAGCTTATAATCGCTCTGCCATGAACAACTTCGCAATCAAGCAAGGTTCTATTTGCCTTTAAAGCACGTTCACTCATTCAGATTATCCCGAAAGTCATAACTGCTCAGTTTCGTATCTAAAACGTAAACAAAGCAATTTCTATTCTCTTTAATAAGTTTTACCAAGTTTGTAGGCCGGTAGACGAAATAAATAGTTTAAAATAAAACAAGGCGTCTACTCACATACGGGTATCCACTAAAATGACGTTTGAAGTAATAACAATAGTAATATACATATAACTATATATATAACTATATATATATATATATATATATATATATATATATATATATATATATATATATATATATATATTATTATTATTCTACAATCTACATTCAACATCATCACTTGATAAGAACCAGAGATGTTGAAACAAAATGGCTATTTTGTAGTGATTTTATAACATATTTATGTTATAAATTTTAAATAAATAATTATATATATATATATATATATATATAAAATCTTCTCTGTATACAATTTTTTTTACTGGAAAATATCAGACGGTCGATAATGCCTGCTATCTATCTATCTATCTATCTATCTATCTATCTATCTATCTATCTATCTCAGTCTGTTCGTTATCTATTTACTTCATTCTTCTTAATTTCTCTCTTTTACTGTCTATTCTCTCCCACCCCCCATCCTTTCTCTTTCTTACTGTTCCTTCTTTATGATTTCTCTAGCAAACGATATATAACTGCTTTTGTCTTCCTGATTAACAGATACAAATTATGTGTACACAGTCTATAAGTAGATGTATAACGCAATGTACTGTTATCGCAATAATACGTTTTCCTAAAAAGGAAAAAAAAAACAACTCTTTCTCTTTTTCTACCTCTCAGAAAACTTTTCCTTCTAGCCGGGGTGATATCAGTTAAAACCTGCACCAATGTTCCTTGTGTACACAAGCAATAAAAAGGCGGTTGCCGCTTCCTGTTTATACAACCCTGGCATTGGCATAAAAGCAAAGCAGTTTACTTGTGGGGACATTTACTTGAATCACATCCCAAACGAGTTTGGTGGTTTACTATTAACTACAACATTTATATATTTATATTTACAAGTTTAATTTGGCGCATGGTAAGATGAGATGAAAGAATAAATCCAGGAAGATTGTGTTACGTTAATCTCTGTTACGTTATGGAAGAAAGGTTCACCTGTCTTGAAAATTAGTATTCAAAATTCTGTTGTTTACCTGAGTTCGAACACCGGTCATTAATAAAAAAACAAAAAAAAAACAAAAAAAAAAACAAAAAAAAACAGTATTTTGAATGCAAAGGCAAATACCAGTGACGTTTATTTTATGTTGTAGGCAGTTCAAAATAATATATATGTAAAGAGGCGGGAAATGGGAACAGGAAGATTCTATTGCGCCAGTCTTCCAAGTGGAAAGGTCTACCTATCTAGAAAATCAGTATTCAAAATCCTGGATTATATTTGGGCATGAACGTCGACATCGAGTGGAAATACGTAAATAAAATAGAACGCAGAGCTTCTGTTTTAAAAAATATGAGAAACATTTAAACAATCTATTTTTAGGATGATGGGCATAATCTACAATTTTTTGTAGTGTAGGACTCGGTGTACTTCTTGCTCTTCCTTACTACTGTGACAATGGACTGCTAAATATGGCAAGTAGCCACATTATAGTAGGATTTGAGGTGTAGTAGATTTACTCAAGTTTTTTTTTTCATTTCTCTATATGAGTATTTAATAAACCTCTTTTTCATTGAATTTCCTATCTAGTCTTTGTTCCTTTGATACTCTCTCTAACTACGGCCTTCCTTCTCGGTTATTTTGAACAAGGACAACATTGCAACACGATTTTTTAGGAGATTCACTGATTTTCTTGATTCTGATATATCTTTAGTCATCCTGTTTGCATTTTGAAAGAGTAGGTATGTTTTCTCCAAGATATCTAAGTTTATCACAATTTGTACGGAAGTTGTCGAATAACTTTCAGACTATTTTGAGTAGCACGGGCATCATGTGGGTGGGCATTATTTTGTTGGAACAGCACTTCGCCTTCCTTACTCAGGAATGGTAGCAGAACCAGTTAAACAATTTTTCTGGTTATGCATGGCCCTGTTCAATATTTCATTCACAGACACTAAAGTTGAGTAGAAATCGTAACTTCCATCCACGCAAGCCGCTAGTGGCCCGCTTTCGGGCCGCCGATGGCGACACCAGCAGACCTCTGGTAGCAGCTACCGGTGGGCTTCCAGCGGCTCGCCAGTGTTAACATTGCCGGGACGAACACGCCTGCGGCCCGAGAGCAGGCTACTAGTGGTAAACTCTCGTGGCATGGCACCCAGTGGCAAATTGGTGGCTTGCGTGTAGGATCAAGACAACCATGATGCCAGGGTTTGGGCTTCTGTGCTATGGGTGATTACACTCTGTAAGATGTCACCTAAGTCTACATTACATGCCCTTCATATAAGAACTTGTTCTCATCACTGACGATGTGTCTAACAATTGTGCTGGCTAGGATACATGTCAAACATCTTGCAGAGTATCTTGAGTACTGCGCATTATGTGGGTAGGCATTATTTTGCTGGAACAGCACATCACCTTCCTGTTTTAGTAATGGCAGCAACGTGTGTTTAACAAGGTTCTGGGCGTACATGACACTGTTTAACATTCCATCCACAAACACCACTGCGCTTTAATTAATGTCAGTTCACACCATGATGTTAGGAGTTGAGCCTGTGTGTCGTAAGTGCGAATATTCTTATGAAGCTATCACTCATCAGGTTTACATCGCACACGCAAACGACATTCACTTGCTTGGTGGCAGAACATGTTTCCATGGCTGAACAATACAATATTCAGTGCCTTTGGTGAGCTTCTCGTGACACAATTAGAGACAAGCACAGCGATGTTTTAACTTGAACCGCTGCTCTGTAGAACCGATTCCCAAGAGGATGCTTCTCCGATAACTACAATCTTAACCTATTCAAATCTAAGGTTGACCGTTATCTTCCCCACATATCCGCGTAAACTGTACCGCTTACTCTTTAACCCACTGTCGAGTGGCTCCCCAGTTTTTACAGGGTGAAAATCATTATAAAAAAGTGTTAGTCTGTCAAGTAGAACGTGTGCTCGTAGTTCTGCCGTAATCCCCAACGGTCGGTCCGTGTTGACACTCCTGGAGCCACATTTGTTCCGATCTGTGATGTGGACGCCTTAAGATCTATTACTGCTGCTTTTACAGGGCATCGATCTTTGTGAATGTCTGCATTATATAACCGTTCAGAATCTGGTCTACGCGTGTAGGAATTAATCATGTTATTGCCAACAAAATAAGCCTATCGAAAGTTTATAATCTGACTCCACACAAGCGACTCTGGAAACACGTGTTTGTCTCCACGGCTCGAAAACCGCTTGCACAGAAGTACTTCCTCACGTCGAGCCTTATCGCAACATGTATCACCGTCTACCGCTAAACATACATATTCTGTGCCTAAATCAAAATCGGCATTGTCCTTCAAGATGTTTCCGTTTTATTTTTCGTCTATATATATATATTACATCATACAATGACATCTTGTCGGTTCTTTTTAATCAAACTTGTTTGGATGAATACTTTCTACTTAAACATATTTTGGTAATCTTGAACATTCGTGCCTGCACCCACCCCCCCAAAAAAAAATAACGGTGTGTCAAAAGGACTATTTTCCCTTGACGCCGCTATTATTTTCACAATTTTCACTCCTTCGCAATGTTTTTTGCTTTAAAAAGCGATTTTTAGAATTTTAATAAGACCTAAAGATATGAAAATGGATTTGTACATTTTCTTTGTTCTTGAGAATTGGCAACAAAAATAATAAGTATCTGTCTACATTTCTGAGATGAGGTATTATGTACACTATTTACATTATTCGGACTATTGTCCTCATCTTTGTCACCATATTTATTACAACGTTTCGGCCGTTGTACGCTCCGGCTTTCTTCAGGTGGTTGGAATGTCGAACCCTTTATTTCGCTCACTGGGGTAGACTATTCTAGTCCAGTGACAGGACCCAAAGAGTGTGAGTTCAATACCCGGTTAAGGCAGTGTAGAACTTGGAGAGATGAATTAACAGGACATAACTGATAACAGACATCCATTAAACATGGCACGTGGAACTAGAACAGTCTACCCAAGTGAGAGAAATAAAGGGTTCAGTTCGACATTTCAACCACCTGAAGAAGGCCGGAGCGTACAACGGCCGAAACGTTGTAATAAATATGGCGACAAAAATGAGGACAATCCTCTGAATAATGTAAATAATGTATAAAAATAATAAGCACGATTTATTTAGTATATTGTTTATTGGAATGGATGGCAAAACATCGGCTAATTGCCAATCGATTCGAACTTTATAAAATGGTAAATAATAAGGATTTCCTTATAGTTGGCTTTCATATTGTAATAATTTAGTAATTTTTTTATAAATTTATGAATAAAAATTATTTTCATATTTATTGGTAAATGATAAATATTGTATTGCATTAGTTCTAATTGTATTCGTTGTTTTAGAATGTTGTAAATACAAAATTCATTTTGTAAATAAAGAATCTAATAAATAAATATATAATGTTTAATATTTTTGTGGTAAATTTTCACGAAAAAATAATGTATATAAATTAACTTTCATCATATGTTTAGATTTTGTTATAATTGTAATCATCGCTTTCTAAAACAATAAATATTGCCGAAGAGTGAAGGTAGTTAAAAAAGTGGTGTCATGTGGGGGGGGGGCATTCCTTTTGATACGACGTCTTATTGCGGTCACGTTTATTCATGTTTTCTTAAATGTATTACTGATATCAGAATTGCAATATTGTGCTACTTTAAAAGTCAAGAACTTCTAAATTTGGAATTTGGCCATTAATGACAAGAAATTCAATTCGAAAATTTATTGGCGTTGGCTTTTCAAATGTCCTCCAATCTGAGGTTGATTGATATTTTTCCAAAAGTGTATTTATGTTAACTGAAGAAGCGCTTAAGTACCATTAATATCATTGTTATCGAATGTCAGTAGTCATCATTAGTACTTCATCATTAGCAATATATATATATATATATATATATATATATATATATATATATATATATATATATATATTATATATTTCCTTCTGCCCAGGTGCTGATAGGTTATATTTAGGTCACCCAGTAACCCATTGCGTCTCTGTGGCTTTTACTGCCTGCCTTGGGGTGAACCCAATTAGAAAAAACAACTAATTAATTACTACTTAATACTTTATATAATGATGGAACCTTTACCAAAAGAATAATTTTGCAGAGCTGTAGCAAGCTAGTTTAGATTTGTTTATAGTTACAAGTTGAAATCTGTAACAACAATGGTTAGAAACTTAGTTTCGTAAGCCACTGGTTGTGTGTTTGGAACTAAAAGTGTCTTCATAAATCTGGCATAATGTCAGAATTAAATAGTCAAACTAATACCAAATGAGTATTTTAATAGTTACTCCACAAAATTTGGCTTGTGCTAAGTGCGGCATTGTCCAAGAGTTGCCCAGATAGTTATACGCCCTTGGGTATGTTAAAAGGATTTTCTTTCGACGAGAGAGGGGGAGTAGAGAGGACATCATCTCTTTTATCCTGATTATTCA